CTCAGAAGAGATTCTACCCTATGCCTCCTTGTGCCCAGAATTTCACCCTCCCTGCTGCAAAGGATAAACAATGCTGTATAGTTCTCTTACTAACCTTTGGTTTTCCTGTGGCTTCTATGCTGCCCACAAGAATTTAGAATCTTTCTAGATTTTTGTAAAAAAAATAAAATTTAAAAATCCTTATAGAAAAGCTCTATCAAATTTACTAGGGGAGAAAGCACAAGGGTGATCACAAGGTCCTAGAACAGCGATTCTCAACCAGGGTGTTGTAGGACTGTAGGCTGCCTTGAGATCTTTTCAAGGGTGATGCAGGGTGTCACACAATGTTAGCACTCTTAGTTAGATAAACTCAAAGATTTCAAATAGAAATCCATAGTGTCAAAAACATTCTGACCTGTTGTGGGCTTTCTGAGTTCTTTGCAACGGAAGAATTGCTCTACTATTATTCTGTAGTCAAAAACTGAGTGAAAGTGGAAAGCTGGCATTTTCCAAGAAGTCTAACAAGGGGTGCTTCAAATCTAAAAAGGTTGAGAACCACTGTGCTAGAGAAACTGCTGTGAAAACCTACAGGGTTTCATGGGCTTGCCTTTCTATAAGTCTTAATGAATTGCCCAGCAAAAAGAGCATGATTGAATTCTATAAGAGGGTTTCAAAAGAGACCTATAAAAAGCATTTTGTTTTACATGAAATTATATAGGGTTTTCTCTATATACTAGGAAGGATTGACTTAGGGATTTTATGGTTGAGTTTCCATATTTATACTATTTAAATTGATTAAAATTGATTATACTATTTAAGTTGCTTAAAAATTCTGTTATTGGCAGTGAAGAACAGTTTTCCCACTTCAGTTGTGGTGGTGGTGGTTTCCCAAGACTGTAGACAGTCAGCTCTGCGAAGTAGGAACTGCCATTTTCACCTCAGTGAGACCTTACCTCTGGGTCTTTGTGACACACATTAAATGTGAACTCATTTAACTGTTTCACCGCAGATTGCTTTAGCAAAAACATCCAGCCACCCAGAGCTGCAAATGAAAAGGTATCATTATGTCTGCGTTGGATTCTTTCTTTGAATAAACTCCAGAAAATGCAGCAACTTCCATTTTCTTTTCATTCTACACTAGGCTTCCCACAACTGCTGGAGTTCCCTCTAGTGTTTTTATCTGAGCATTGCAATGATTCACATCTCATCTATTCAATAAACCCTAGTTACACATAAGCCCCTTTTCCTCTCCGCTGATGCAGTCCTTCAGAGTCATGCTGCTGGAGTCCTGGAAGAAGAGGAAGGATAAAAGAAATGATTCTAGAATGGCAAGTCCTAAGCAAAGGGAAATCATTAAACTACATGTAAATCTTGAAATATTTTGCAATGAATCCAAAATGTATTCTCCAGCTTAAAAACAAAGAACTGAAAGCTAGTCCCTGGGCGCGTCCACACATTCATTAATGCGCCGTAATTATGGCACATTAAGTTTAGTACCTGTAATTATAGGTACTAAAATTAATGTGTTATAATTGGCACTACTGCACATTAGTGCCAGTGCATGCTTTTTTGTGACACTAATGCACAGTAGACTAATTCAACAGAGCATTAGCACAGGTTTTGTCTACTGCACCTTCAGCATTTTGTGTAGATATGCCTCCTGTGATTTTACCTTAGCCATACCCTTGCAGACAAAGGCAGAAATTCAATGACTGGCCACTGAAGTTTAAAAGCAATAAAAATGCAGTTGTATATAAAACATACACATCTCTCAGTGCCGGCATACAACTTTTGGCATTGCTTAGTGAGACTGACCAGAGGGGCCTGATCACGGAGCAACAGCCTTGCTTTTCTAGACACTGTACAAACACTGCAAACTGCTCATTTTCAATTGCCTGGAGCCTTTAAATCCAGATTGTGGAGGATTGCTCCAGTTCATCGCTTCTTGCTTGTTGCTAGGTAAGGTTCCCTGGTCAGAGTACTTCAGAAGGGTAGACTGGCTTATCCTAACAGGCCCTTCTGCCCTTAAGGCACATAGGGAAAGTGCCTTTATCTGGACAGTGTCTCTCTGGAATTATTTCACAAGGTGAAGGTAGCCCCAAGGTGTTATGTAAATGCCTGGGCTGTGTTACTGTTTCCCAACTCAGGGCAGTGATTGTGAATTGAGATCTTTTCTCAAAAAAAATCTGGATGTTCAATGCCACAGCCCTGTGGTCCATTAAGAGCAGGCTGCTCACTGCTGTCTCCTGGTGGAGTTGCATCCCCCAGCACTGCTTGAATCCTCCAAAGACAGAGCAGCGGCTGCTAGTGAGGGAGAGGAAAGGCCAGGCTTCATATGCATGCCAGGTTTTGTGAGCATTTAGGGCATATTTGTTTAAATACAGCTCAAAATTGATTTAAATGTATTTAAATGTGGAGCTGGAGGAGGCTGACATGCCTGCTGAAGAACACATGGATGAAGGAGGTATGTCAACTGTATCTGGGGTACTGCCTCACCCTACAGCGTTCAGCACTCAGCAGTAAAGTCCTGGGGCAATATGGCCCTATAGGCATGTGGTGGACAGATCTCTGAGGTGGATTGGGCAGCATGAAGACAGTGTCACAGCTACAAGTGCAGCTGAGATTGCTTGGGCTGAACCAGCTGAGAGCAGCTTCCTTGCTTTGGGGTTCTCATGAGGCCTTCCCCACCCAGTACCAGGGCTGTGAGCTTTTTGGCTTGGAGTTGTGATTGAGCCCTGCAGGGCTGTAGGTTCCTTCTGGGCAAGGTGTGGAAAATGTGGATTCCTCCAACTTGAACAACAAGCAGGGCATGAACTGAGTAGTTCACAGTCGGAAGAGGAGGGTCAAAATGGAGTTACTGCCAAGGGACTGGTGTTTCACTGAATCTGGATTGCCCAAGAGCATGCTGCTTTCTCTGCTGTGGAAGTTCCCTTTGCTGGAAACTGTTGGACTGGTTGTTTATTAGTAAGGAACCACGGCTTATCAAGAGCACCAGCACAGTGTCACTTGGGTTCACAGATGCCTGAGAGGCAGTGGGGAAATATCTTTGTGGGAGTTGCCTTGGCCTTTGTATGGCCAACAGCATCTGGCAGAGGGTAGCAGATGTTCAGCCCACTTTCTGCTGCTCCTTTGAAACGTGCTGCAATCTACTTTCTGGAACAGCCCCCCTGAGGAGCAGGGTGAACACGATCCTGACTGTTTTTAGGATGGTCAGTAGTCAGTTTAGGGAAGGGAGTCTCTGAAATGGCTCCTGCCAGGGGGCTGGGTGTGATGATTCAGGGAAGTTTTGAGTGAGACTTGTATGTGGGAGATAGCCAGCCACAAAATCTTGCACTGAGGTGACACCTGGCCCCTATGACCAAGGTGGTTTCTTTGAGCCAAGTAACGGAAATACACCCATGAGCAAAAAAACCCCAAGAAAATGCTCACCCTCACTCTCCCAGACATGAAACAAAATTACCAAAGGGGCACCTGGATTTGAACTAGGGACCTCTTGAGCTGCAGTCAAACACTCTGCTACTGAGTTATGCCCCCTTCGTTTTCTTTGCCTTTTTACAGACTGTCATTCAATATGAAGGTTTTCCAGTGTAATTCTGTGATTCTGTAATTGGAGGGTACTCTTTTGACCAAGTACCTGCTTGTCTGGGAGGTGCTGTAACTTAGTAAAGCAGTCAGTAAAGACCAATACCAAAACACACATGACCCAGCGTTCTTCCTTTGCTATTTCAATCCAGCCTCCCTGAGAATCAAGCTGGGAATGTGGAGTCCCCTGAGCTATATTTCCATGTGTGTTTTGAGGGCATATCTGTGTAAAGAGAACATTGCAACACTGAGCCTATTAGTAGAAATAGGCTTGGAGCTGCTGGCTGGCTGGTTTACTCAGATCTCTTGCACATGCAGTAGTTCCTCTACTTCTGTTATAGTTTACATCTATTAGGCAGCAAAAAAGTTGTGTAAATCCTCCATTTGGTGTTTAGGCAAGATAATTCAAAAGTACCAGGGGGTATAGCTCAGTGGTAGAGCATTTGACTGCAGATCAAGAGGTCTCCAGTTCAAATCTGGGTGCCCCCTTTGTTTTCTTCAAGCTAAAATGTCTGTCCACTGATTTCCATAGAGAATGCAACTGAGCTGTGTGGTCAAGGTAAGCAAGGTTGGTATCATACATCCTCCAGACTGACTGCCTGGAGGTTAAGACAGAAGCAAGCTCTCCCCTAAGAAAGAAGCACAGTAGGGCAATGTACTTGTCAGACAGAGCAGATGGTACTTTGAAGTGAGGCCTCCCAGCAGTCAGGGTAACAGGCCTTACTGATCATCGCTGTGGCTTGCAGGCCTGAGGAATAGTCAGACGCTGGTGCTGTTGTAACATGTGTTTATTACAGAGCAATGCTATGTACAGGCTACTTACACGAATAAATACAGGCCCCTTGTTCCTGGGATAGAAAGGAATAGCCATCGCCTCCTCACTAGGGTGAGAGCTTCATGCACCTCCAGTTGCTTTTCTGATACTCAAGTGCTTTCCTGGAAGAGATGGGAGTGGAGACATCAGGGTGGAGAAGGGGCAAATAAACTTCACCCCCTTGCAAGGCTGAGCACAGAGCCTTGCCTCCCAATCCCGTTTTGTGATCGCAAGGCTATGCTCTAATCCCACAGCCCAGCATAGAACCCAGGATTCCTGGGGTGCAACCCCATCTCTGACTATTAAACCCCCCACCACTGTCTTCCAATTAAGATTGGAACCCAGGAGCCCTGGGTCCTAGTCCCCTGCTCTAACCACTGTTACCCACCACAGTCTGCAAAGTACTTTGAGTACTTTGAGTAGCAGCTGAAATGCAGCTGGTATTTCTGGGCCTCTCCAGCATTAATTAAGCCTCCAGCCATGCTCCAGCATGGATGGGGTCTGGCAGCATGGCAGCCCTGAGCCCCCAGCTCTGTCCCGGAGTCCTGCCCATGGACCAAGGCGGAGATCACTCTTCTGTGCCCAGGCCCTATGCTCAATAACCACTGCCCTGCATCGGGGACACTCACTCTTGGTCGATGGCCCCAGCTCTGCACACCAGCCCCTCCTGGCAGGGGCAGACCTGGTTGATGCTGAAGGCCAGCCCACCAGGGGGCACATAGCAGCTTTCATCCATGACCAGCCTTTTCTTGCAGACCATCTCACCATGCTGGCGGGCACAACAGGCAGCCGGCCCACAGTCCTTGTCCTGCCTGCAGCGGGCACCTGGGTGTAAATGAGAAGAGGGTGGGTGAGAAGGGGCAAGGCCTCCCAATATGGCCCTGTGACCTCTACCCTCCATACCATCCTGCCCCCAGGAGCCTTCTGCCCCAGGACCTGCCCATGCCCCTTCCCACCAATCCTCCAGGCTTGAGATCATCCCCTATCACAGCTGTCACTACATGGCCCAGCATCACCCACCCCACCTGGAGGCAGCCTCCCTGCCTGACCTGTTCATCTCTCTGGGTGCTGTGTGTGGCATAGGGGTAGGAGCACAGCCTGTTGTGTACCCTCAACTACCCCTACCCTACCCAGCTGCTTTCTCTCCCTGAACTGTGCCTGGGGCTCCTGGAGACAAGGGCAGATTGGATTATAGTTAAGTTCACTACCCTAAGCCTATATTTTTTCCCAGTGGTAAGGTATGCATTAGAAAAGCTGCAGCACTGCTCTACCTTATACCAAGGAGCCATGGTCTTTCCCGGAATACAGAGTTCTCCACCTCCCTGCTGCTCTATCTGTGCCCGGGTTGCAGTTACAGGCTCAGGTCTGGAAAGCAGTTCCTGGATCAGTCAGAAGGAGCCAACCCATTCTATTTTCTTACCCTCCTGCCCATCTGGCACAGTCTGGTGGCACTTGCCAAACATACAGTTCAAGCCCCTGGTGCAGTGGGCATCTTGGCGGCAGTACTGCCCCTCCTGGCGCAGGGACAGGCAGACCCCAAAGTGCTTATCACAGAAAAGCCCTCGGGCACAGTGTCGGTCTTGGCTGCACGTTGTCACCTGGGGAGAGACAGCAAGATGGAAATGAGGGAATCCGCTTCCTACCCCTGACAATGCCCCCGCAGCAACTTTGAGTAGCAGCCACCTTAGAGATGAATTACCTACCCCCACATCTCCCATAGCCCCTGCAAACACTGCCTGCATTTCAAACATGGCAATGCTGAAGACCTTGGTTTAGCTTGATAGCAACAGGGGTTCAGCACCCCTGAGTTCCCAATGAGCCCATCCATTCAGGAGCAGTTCTCCCCTTTTTTTTTAACCCTTTGGGACATCACCACAGCAAGCCCTTGATAGACTACATTTTCCAAGGCAATTAGTGGGTTTTGTGACAGGGGGAGAGAGGGGAGGGTCTTGGTTTTTATCCCAGTTGGAGATGCCTTAAAGGGCCCTGAATCTCCACTGATCCCTTTAAAAAATGAGGTCCCTTTATGCAGGGCTCCTAAAAGCCTTAGCTGCTTTCAGAAGCCTTGCCCAGATGATGGAGAGTTATAATTAAGCCCCACTGATTTCCTTGACATAAATAAGATGCTCCTTGACCCCCACCCCACAAAAAGCATCAGCTGGGAACTGCCCTCTAGTTAGGTGGAGAAGCATTGGACCATCTGGACTCCTGGTTTCCATTTTGAGACTAAACAAGCCAGATTGGACAAATAATGCTTGCCCCTGGAGAAGAAGGCATATGCTGAGAGTTAATCAATCAAACTCTTCAGGGCAGATTTGTTCTGTGTTTATACCCGCCTCAGCACCAAGGCAGCCAGGGTGGCTGGGGTCCTGTCCCAAGGCCTGCCTTTGGGATCCTGCATACTAAGCATATGGAGCTCAGCTGCTCCTAGCCAGGAGATCACACCAGCCAGAACTGGCATGTGTAAACCATTCCAGCTTTCACCACCTTTTCTGTTTAGTTTTAAGCACCCTGTCCTGCGAGTGCACGCGGTTCTGTTTTACAGAGGCCCTGCTGGGCAATCCTGGAATCCTGATGGATGTCTGGGAAGAAATTGGTTTCACGTGAGTAAACTGTTCCCTCCATTTATTTTTAAAAAAGAATCAGTGAGAACAGCATGGATTTTTCCATCCGCCTTTCGATTGAAGCATTGCAAGGCTGGGCTGCCTGAACACCAGGAAGCCCTGCTAATTAGCATGCAAATTAAAACCCACTGGGTCTATATCCGTTGTTTAAGCCAAGGACAAATCTAGAATGGGCAGAAATTTGCTTTTCTAACGAGGTCAGCCCTTTGCTGTGTCAGTGCTGGACAGAGAATCCTTTTCCCCCCTGGTGGTTTTTCAGGGAAAACCCGCATTTTTGTTGAAATGTTTTGGGTTTTCTGGGAGGGAGAGGGGAAGGGGATGAAAATGAAAACTGAACATGCTCAGTTTTTCCCCACCAAAAAAGGAACATTTTTAAGGTGCAGAGACTCAGTGTAACACTTGTATTGTTGTGGGGGGTGAGGGGGAGACTGTTTCCTCCCTTTCAGCATTTCTTCAGCTGTAATCACCGGAGACCGGATGAATAAAACAGCAAACACAGATTGGAAGTGGAGATGTAGCACTGCTGAGAGCGTGACAGTGAAGACCCCCAGCGCCAGCCCATCATCTTGCAAAGAGTGCAAGGCATTCCACCTTGGTGGAAGGGGGTGGGAGTTTCCGACGGCTGGAGGACCAGGGAGGGCTCGTTGGAGCCCTCTTTCAAGTCTTCCCATCTTAAAAACGCTGGCTGGAAAACCACCCTCCCCCCATAAAAGTCCTGCTCCAGGTGAGGATCGAACTCACAACCTCGGCATGGCTCACCCAAGTACTGCTGTATAAGTACCGCGCGCTAACCGATTGCGCCACTGGAGCAGCCGTAAAGCCTCTTTTGTCGGGCTGCTATTGAGTAGACCACCCAGGGAGTGAGCTCAGGGCAGTGCTCGGCCCCGAGCTCAGCTCCCCGGGACCCGCGAGAGGGAAGAAAAGAGACCGATCCTGAGTGCACCCCTTGTAGCAGGAGAAACCGAGGCACAGAGCCCTGGCAGGCTCCTTGCCTGTGCTCAGCAGGCTCTGATTGACCTCACTGAGCCTGGGGTGGCTGGCAGAACTAGAGAAAGACACCAGGAGTCCTGCCTTCCACTTCCTTCTTCTCCTGCTACTATACCAGTGGCTCTCAACCTTTTTTGTACCAGGACCCATTTGTAAACATTGATGGCCAGTCCCAACCCAGTTCCCCCCACTCCTTACCCATTCCCAGCCCCCCAATGTGTGGTCCAGGGCAGGGGGTGTGGGATACGGGGGCGCCTTGCAGACTGGACCTCTGCTAGCCTACAAGGGAAAAGCCATGGTTTTTTTCC